TTTCGATATAAAATATTTTCGAATTCTAATTCTACTAACAAATATTTTTATTATAATAATCATTTATGATAAATATTTATATAAGTGTATATATAATATCTTTCAAGGTTTAAATTGTGACATTTGGTTTAATAATAATGAATTTTAACGTCAACAATTCACGAGGCTTTTTGAAATACTTTCCATGTCCCATAAGTACTACATTCAATGTACTTTACTAAAAGGATGAAATTTAAAATGACAAATCACTTTAATAACAAACGTGGAACCACAACGAGAAGCAAAATTTATTACCTAAAATCTGTAAACAGACTACGTGACACTTCAAAACTCGCGTTAAATGGATTTCGATTCTCTTTTAAATTGTTTCTCGTTATTCGAATGATTTCTTCGCATTAACGATGGATTTATCTCTCTAAAACAACTTGTTCTCACCTAAACGAAAAATAAATGTATTTGCAGATTGCATTATCCAATATTTATCTATAATATCAATATCAAATTTACTTTTAAAACATCAATATTCCTATTTCCTTTAGAGACTAAAATTCAGTAAAACAACCGCAATATTTCTGTTTGCTCTAATTTATCAATATCGAGTTGAAAATTTTGTTAATAAATTGATCAAAATTATTGCTCAACTTTTACAAAATTTCGTTTGAATACAGGAATAAATATGTCATCGGAGATTAATTGTTTTATTGTTTCATATTCCCGTATATTTATATATTGCATTCTTGTCGTGAACCAAGTTTAAAACACTTTCATACAAAACAAATATTGCAGTAGTTCGGTACTCGGGGATAATAAGTTCCAAGACCTTCCGTGGTTACGCGAAACCACGGATAATTCCGTACAATGTTACATAGAGCGTGTGGCTACAGTGTGTATTGTACAAGTAGAGTGTAGGTGATTTCTTATGCGAATATAAAGTAAAAATGTGGGAGAAAATTTTTACATTCGAGGTTTGGTTTTTGAGAAAATCAATTTCGAAAATCCGTTGAATATATATGCACGTGTACAGTTAAGATCAGCTTTGTTAAGCAGACAGGATAAGATTCTTTATGCAAAAGTAAGTCGATAATGTAGAATAAAGGTTTTTCGTCCGAGTCCATTCAGTGGACAGGATATGATTTGTTTATGAAAAATAGGTGGGAAATATGAAATAAAATTTACTACGAATAAATGAAGCGTTTAAAAGTATTTGGTATAGTATATAACAAGAAGAAAGTTCCAGGATGGTATTAGCAAAGTTAGAAAATGATTCAACGATGTATAAGATGTCTACGGTACATTTACTGTAGATACGAGCCATGGTGGCGCTAGTGTACCGGTTGGAAAATCGACTTAGAGCTGTTACAGTAACAAGAAATAAATCAATATCGTATCGAAACTTTTTAGTTTTTGACCAATGATGCATTCGACTAAGACAAATGGAAATATACTATAAATATTGTTCATATATCATGTATCATGCATATTATAAATATTCGAATATTTTTATATATAAGTATGGATTCAAATAAGAAAGTTTCTAAATTTTGTACTAGTGGTGTATATTTTATGACTAATATCTTCGGAATATTGAAGAACATGCCAAATCTTTGAACCTAATTATATAATATGTACCATATATAATATAACCCCAAGTCCAGTTAAAAAAATAATTCATAAAACACTCGATTTTAGTCAATTTTATAATCGTTTTATTCCAAACGATATAATTTTATATGTGGTTTTATTCCAGAAAGAGAGCCAAGAATATACCAAACACTCTCCTGTGATCAAATAACACTTTATGGAGGTTAGAAACTACTATCCGTGAATCAAACATCGAACCAACTCGTATCAAAATTAACCATTCAAAGTATCGTTACCACGAACTTCTCCAGTTCGCATAAAGCACTAAAGTGCAGGAAAAATGCGACTCGGGAAAGTAATTTTCCTGCCTAATATTTCAACACGAGCGGAGATATACGGCAGATATACTTAAGTTTCCTCGCGCGCCCCGTGGCTTCGATGGAACGACTCGCGCGAACCGTATCGCTGGCGCCCTCTTCGATTTATCGACACCGGGCCAAAAAATTTCCGCACGCGTCCAAAATACCCACCAACCCCGAGTTTTATCCGTGACTCGCATTCATCCAATTTCTTTCTCGATTTAACGCGCTCGCATCGTGTAATGGGCTGCCATGGGCTGGCTTCTGGCAGATAGGGGTGTGCACGCCAGCACAATGTTCTCTGGACGTGTTCGATAGCTCCTCGTAGGCTTCGTTCCACGCTGCCACAAAATGGGTCGCCGATTGAAAATTGCCGGGTACTCGTATCACCACCGTACCTGTCAACGTGTCCTACCGATGACTTAGTATCGAGAGGTCGAGGGTGAAGCGTAAAATCAAACCCCTCCCCTCTCTGGTGGATGTGGGATAGAGATATCCTAGTAATCGGTGAATCTCACTTGTTGGATGGCCACTGTGTTGTATCATGGATGGGTATTTATTATTTATTATTTTATAAATGATCCTTCATCGTCACATTTGAATTTGTGTTTATAATTTAAAATAGTTTAGAGTATTTGTTGGTATATCATTATTATTTAAAGATAGATAATATTTTAGAGATAATGGAAATTGTATTCATATAAAATTTTTATCTATTTGTTACTATTTTGTTATTAAGTGGAAAGCAGACGAAATATTTTCTTTATTGCAATAATAAATGAAGATTTTATTAACATAGGATTGCTACCCATTTTTTATTATTTTATCTATTATTTGTTACTATTTAATATAGAGAAAATTAGTTGTTTCTTGTTAAAATGTTTAATAAACTATTAACTATTAAAAAATTACATTTCAGTTAATTGTGAGATATAATTAAATCTGGACTTGTAATATGGATATTAATATTAAATTCGAAAATTTTTATGTATTTCTGTAAGGGTAGGATGAACGGAAAGGTTCTCTGCCCTTTGTTAGCTTTATTAGAATTTCGACGATGGTATCAAAGATCTGATTATACCGATATATTTGTAGAGAACGACCTGCTTTGCTAACAATACAGAGTAAAAGTTTATGTTATATCTTATCAAGCTGTTCTTTATGATTCGCGTGGTATACAAATCAGATAACAAATGCAAATTCAAGATGTGCTGGTACTACGAAACAGAATGGAACGTGAAACGTAAAGGCTCTTAAATATCAGTTGCTCTCCTTATGCAGTATTCAAAAGGATACAGATGCTGTGGCATCGTGATACAGGCGAATTTAAGCTTCAAAGTAGTTGCTGAAAGTACACGTTGAGTACCATTATTAAAAGCTAGTATTTCCGCAGATTTCTTTCGATTAATTATTGAACTATAAGTTTAATAAATACTTTTAAATTATCTAATTTTTATAACCTTTGTATCATATCATTAATATTATAAACAAAATACGTACAAATTAAATAACAAGTATCAAATGATAATTTAAAAGTTTACGAGATTGCATATTTTAATAACAATAAAAATAAATTTATATTATTTTAATAAATCATTTTAATATTATTATAAAAAAATAAATGAAATAAAATACACGTTAACTTTCGTATTTATTCAAAAATATATTTCGTATAATATAAAAGAAATTAATTTTCGTATTATATAAAATTTATCAAAATTATTTAAAGGCAGCTACAATTCATCGTCATGACCTTTTATATTTTTAAAAAGTTAATATAATCCAACAAATATAAATCCCGCAGTCCCACCAACACAAATAGTTAGCAAAGTATCATATAGAATATAAAAACATCAATCCTAAATGCCCAAGCAATTTAAATATACTACGAAACTCAAATATACCACTGTAAATACGGACGTGAATGTTTGTGCGATGAAATAATATATTTCAGAATTATAATTACCTTGAATACGGAAACGAAAACATAAAAGGATGAAAAGTAAAGTATTAATCACGAATCAACTTTACAGCGACGTTAATAAAACCTTACAAATACCAGAAGGTAAACACGGTGTTGTACCACAGTCGTTCTATGTATATTTCATTTTGTCTAGCATTGTTTCGCTGTACGCAGAATAATCGGAATCGCGCGGCACGTTTCAGGCAAGGCATATTAAGCTACAGTTTAATTCACGCGGTCATACTCCCACACGTACAACCTCTATTCACGTATTTATCCGTATACGCATGAAACCTTTTCTTAAAGGATCAGCGAGGTGTATAGCGCGATTAAGGGCGAAATACAGGCACGCCTGTTGGCATAATAGGAGATTCATCGGTAGCACTTACACTCACGCAGCGGTTTAAACATTGTTTCCCGATTATTCTGCCTCTGTTATTCTCTGGCCCTGTATCGCTTCAATTTTCTTGCCTATCGCCAGAGCGCGCACCAGTTATGTACGGTCAAATGTTCCTTGAATATTTCACTTTACGGCTCGCGTAACTCTCATCGAGTAAGCCGTGCGCGAAGCTTCGACTTTCACTCCGCCAGAGCACGCCACGATCGAGCCGTGCAGCACTCACTCGCGTAGAACAGCCAGTGTTTTCCTGTCTCTCTTTGCGAGTGTTTGGCGGGTATAACGACGATCCGGTAATTTTGCCAACTATGTCCGGAAAAATCCCGAAGCTGAGACAGCTTCTATTACAGGGAGAATCGATCGAGAAGCGCGTGGAATTAACTACGAGGCTACTTTGAACGTACTTCGAACCAGGCTTGATTCATGGACCGAAGCACCCACGACCTTGACTCGAAAACTTTTTAAATCAACATTCTCACGAGCTGCCATCGTTTCCACGGAGATCGTGGGAATGTCGGGAATTAAAAAGGTCAACGCTATTAACCGCTCGAGCGGCTCGAAAAGAGGGAAAAGGGAAAATGAAATGACACTTTGCCGCGAGCATCGCGTCGCGTCGCGTTTACCGCGATCGCGTGGAAAAGGGACAAGTAGAGGGAAAGGAAAAATAAAGTGTACGCGAGCGAGGAGAAATAAAACTTACCTCGCTGCGGTGCCCTCGAAGGTTGTAATTTGCCCTTAGCGGAAGTTCCGTGGCTCTCGTTCGACAATGGGACGTGGTAAAAGTCACTCCCACCAGGCCGCGGGCATTACCGGTGGCCAGCCATCCTTCCTGATAGTAATTTGTACGGTCCAGCTTCCATCCCTCGTCCTGTTAAATAACAGAGGGGGCGCTGTTATCAGGTGTTTTTATCTAGCAGCTCGACGCCGCTAATTTACACGGGCTTCCATGCAATGTTAATACCATTGGTTTCACACCGTTATTATGTCAGTAATAATTAATATACCGGTCAAATCCTTTCATATTAAATATGATATTAGTATCATATTATTATTATTATATTATATTACATTATTGATATAATATCAGTATTACGTTATATACCAGTCTATTGTACTCCATTAGCGCCACTACGGCGACATTATTAATCTGCAGTGCGGTATTTGACTGTTTTGTTCGAGAAAAACCGCTTTATAGAAATATGCACAAATATTTTCTTTTTTTTTCTTTAAAGAAAATTTTTAATTTTCAGATCTTTTTCGCTGCAAACGTTTGTTGAAAGTTATCGAGCAGTCGAATTAAAAAATTTATAAGGTACAAAGGGCTAATCCTCTGCACTCTTTACATTTATAATTAGTACAATTATGAAAATTAATTTCGAACATTTATTTTATTATTATATAACAAAATATGAAATATTAAAATATTTATAAGACAGTTATGTAGGATAATTCATACACGATTCCCTTTTACGCTATAGTAAAGCAAAGTCATGGACTTTGTAATAGAAATGCTTTGAGTTTCTGTTCACCTATATTAAAAAATTCTTTGAGTACGAAAGGTTAGTAAAAGTCTGCATCGTCAAACATTTAGAAAGTGTAATTTTTTAATATTTTGGAGTTTTGAACTTTTTCCTCGATATGATTATCTCTCTCAGCTTTCGAAATATTTGCAAGGAATTTTCGTTACTGTTACTTGTATTGTGTCCACGTATGTATGTTTGCGATACAGTCATAAGCCTAGTTGGCAAATTGGACGCTCTGTTCGCCAGTTTGGGGTCTTATAACCATAAACCAAGCTATAAACGGAAGATAAGAATTAGGATTGGATTTTTTTATCCGACTGCCATAAAGCGGCCGATAAGCAATATCGATACATACGTTGTCATGGATGAAAACGTGCAAGAAGAGACTTTTTGGAAATATTTTGAAATTTATATTCCGTGATTGATATTATTTATATTATTATTATAGTATTCGCTATATTATTATAGTTATAGTATTATCAATTATAGTATTATAATATTATAGTATTCGCTCAATTTTTAAATACTAATCACTTATTCTATTATATAAAAATTCTCTTATGCTGACATTTTTATCTCTCAGTTAGCAATAATAATTGATCATAATTGAGTATAATAAAGATTCTACTGTAGAGGATTGCATTGTTCAAAATGCTGATTTTTACAAGATATTTAAAAATCATTAAATACGTCTATTTTAAATAATTATTTGCATTTCAAATAATTTCGAAGCAACAGTGTGTGAGTTACTTTTTTATGCAACTGATATCTTTACTATGTTATCGTAAGCTAGTACTGGTACAAAATACGTATGTATAATTATTCCAGGTAAACGTGATCGCTTTATCTGCCAGCTATCTTTATGAAACTTTATTGAACTTAATTCAGTCGTCAAGGTAAAACTTTAAAAATATAAAAAGATAATAAAGTTGATAAGTTAAAGAAAAATAAAATTGATATACGCAGTATCATCAGTCGTCGTCTAATTGCACTTGCGATTACTTTCGTTCACCGATTACGACGTCATGCTCGCTGCCAATTCTGCAATTCTAATTCGCCATTTTATCATTGGCTGTTTCTACCATTAACGTTAGCTCCAAAGCAAGTACAATTTCACCGATAAATTGAATATATTACCTATTCTTCGCACAATTAACGATAAGCGATGCTACGCCCAATTAAATTTGACAACCCTTTGTGATTAAATTTAATGACATGCAAATCAATTTACCAACACGCAGCGCGTAGATTCGGCTGGTGACATAATTTACTGCCTCTGTAATAATCTCTGCAACTACGCTGATGAAAAGAAAGTTTCCCATAGGTCTTAGGAAACTCAGCCCTTAGGAGTTACTGCGCAAGCGATAACGATTTCTCCTTAGTTATGTTCTCTTCGTGCTATAGACATTCTTACTCTCGCATTTGGTGATAACGACAGCTGGAATTGAAATTGTTGCATGCGACACGAATATGCTGCACCATAATCAAGTTTCTTGGGTCGGCTAATCTTAATCCTTACATGCATCGAAAGTTGACGTTTATAGTCTATAGTATCACTGAAGTGAAAATATTTAACAATTCTTATGTTAAATTACTTTTCTTATTAATTATTATTAATTTTCATTAATTTTGTTATTAATAATTATTGTATTTACAATACTTATAATTATCCTATCTGTCCACGTGTACAAACCTAACCTCACTTTTCTGTTCTTCTCTTTAACGCCTGTACTATCGCGTTTAACCTATTAGTTTTTGTATTTAACTATACAATGTCAGTCGAAGCTTCTTTTATTTACCCTTTTCCCATCAGTGAAAACCCATTTCTTTGCTTTAAGTTTCTTTTCAAATCTGCACTAGTCCTTAAGTCCTATTAATAATTATTAATTAATTATTAAACAGCCATTTTCAATACTTAAAATATTTTCTTTTCAATCATTATTATTATTATGAACTAATTTTGAGAAATATTTAATACTTGGACTATATTAATTCGCTTAAAAATAGAATTACTGTTTAACAATTTCTATAGTTCTCAATAATAATTTATAAATTCATATTTTCGTCGTTTTAGATAATATATTTATTATTATCATGAACAACTTCTGAAACATAATTGATAGTCGTGCTTTATTTATTCATTCAGGAATAGAATTACTGATTTGTTAATCAATTAATTGTAAGTATGGAAGATAATGCTTATACCTGTTGACCAACTGCATAACAAGATCATAGTTCAATGATTACTCCTGCAGTCTCATTTTTTTAAGTACATACATTTCCTTTTGATTGCCATCATTTTGTGCCATTTAATACGTTAGTAAACGAATCAACCTACACGATAGCAGTTTGGTTTTGTAATGGAAATTGCGCTAGAAATGAGGTATCATTTCGTGCATGTGTATATACGTATGTATATGATACATACACACTCGCGCGTCACGTGTAGTACCGCGAGATCAGCGTAGCGTATAGAGTGCGCTGTATGTACTACGTATTATTTCTAACCTTCAGAATTTAGCAAATTTTATGGCATACATTTACTTCAGTTTTGAATGTATAAGTCACTGTTTAATAAGAATTTAAAAGTCAAATCGCATACACGGCTAGCGGACAGATGAATCTTTTCACGCGCCAGAAAATAGAGTTACATTTTGTTTAATTAAAATTTCGCTCGTGTTTGCAGCCCGGCCAGTGGAACGGAACGAACGACGCTCAAACGCGGGTTATTATTGCAACATAGATGGTAGACTCGATCTACGTGTAAACAGTTTCAAAGTATAAGAAGCTTCTATGATTTAATTTTACGTTTTTATCTCTTACTGTCTGCCCTCTTGCGATACAGCTTGTTAGGTATACTCGGATGGATTTCAGTAAAGATATAAAAGTGATTATAAAAGAGAAGCAAAAGCAAATACTCTGGGAATCTTCAGGCAAGTCTACGTCAGAAATTCTTGATTTACGTTTATAAATACTTACACCGTGTAAATAACGTTAAATTTCTGTTAATTTAAATAAGAACACACTCGGTTGCAGCAGCTTTCGAGGTTAAGTTGGAAAGGTCACGAGTCATCTTATATAAGCAAACGAAATTAACCGCTTGTTTCTTTATCCTGGTTTAGCTTATTTCGTATAATAATATAATTCGAGTAACTTACTTTTAAAGATAATGGAACTCTTTGATTATCTTGAATTGTTAGAGTAAGTGCTCGTTTTATTACTTGTTAATAATTCTCTCATAAATGATAAGTTCATGGACAAAACTGTGAAATGTTTTATACCTAGGAAAATAACACGTTTTAAATTTTTACATTTTTGATATTACTAACTAAGAAATACAATAATGACGTAATGTTGAGATAGAACAGTAGAATAACAAAGGTATAAAATAATATTGATAATGGATTTCGAACTTTTAAGTCATATGTCGTTATAGGTTATGTTTCAACATTTGCACTTTATTCGTTATTCCGAAATGTGACACTGTAACAGTGATTATTTCAACTCACGTTACTAAAAGTACCTTTTCAAAATAATAAATAGATTTATATTACGAAAAATCTGAATGTATAGTAAAAATTTTAATAATTTCTTGAATAATTTATCATTCAAATTGTTATTTAATTTATTTTAATAAAGTCACATTTATTATAAACAAAGTCACGTTAAAATATGATTTCTTAATTAATTTCCTAATTAGTAAACATACAAATAAATGCAAGATCAAAAATGTTGAAAATATTTTTTTCATTCCTAACCTCACACTACTCTAAAAGCCATTTTATCACATGGTTAAATTTTTGACAGCCGCTGTCGTATGATGCAAAAATACATGGCACTCTGTTCCAAAAATTAAAAGCCGTCTTCGTTTTCCCAGGGAACGTGGCAAATATAAAAGTTTGACATATGCCGTTGCGTTGGTTATAAAATACCATACTTTTTCCCCTTTCGTTTTATTTATTTTTTATTTTTATTTCTTTCTAAAGGAAAAACATATCCTGTATATTTCAGATTCAACTAAAACAAATTTTTTATTTGACTTCGATTCAAAGCAAGTCACCCGTTTGTAATCCTGTCCTATACGCACGTACGCACATACACGCACACACGTGACACCGCGAAGTACACAAAGAGAACACTAGAGCGCGCATTGATTTTCACACCCGCCAACATCGGAGTTAGGGTTGTGAAGTGCTATGAGTGACATGTCGCTGTGGTACGTATTCTAAGTACCTCTAACATAGACACTATTAAACTGCCAGTATTGAGCGACGGAGTTACAACAAGAAAATTAGTATTACGCGAAACTAAATTCACGGGGAAACATCTTCGTCTTCCATCGTAG